GGGGGGGGGGGGCATTGGGTGCCGCCCCATCCACTGCATCGTATGTGTTGTTGTTGTTGCCCTGCACTGCTTGAATCCTAAGGAGAAAAGGAGAGGATATGTTGCACACAAATTTAATACTTCTCGCCACGAAGAGTGCGTGACATCTTTTTTTTTTTTTTTTTTTTTTTTTGGCTTTCCCCATCCTTTTTTTGGTTGGGATTCCCCACAAAAACGCACGAGCAAACAGACGTACAAATACACAATTGTGTCACTGAATTTTAAAAATAAAAATAAAAAATAAAAACGGGGGAGGGGGACGTGCACACAAGGATATTTACATTGGATTGCCCATAAGGTTGGCCATGTGTTTATGTCCCTCACACCCATACGCAAGTGTGCTGGTAATGAATCGACTTTCTTTCTTCCTTTTTTTTTTTTTTTCTCTCTCTCTCTCTCTTTTTACGAAGATCACCAGCAAGCACGATATATATCCCAAATGCATATAAATTAAATTAATAGAGTGCCGCCCTTTTTGGGGTTTTTGTTTTTTGTCTTTGTTTTATTTGTTTCAGCATTACACTTTTCGCTTTTAAGAGGGAGGTGCCTTAAGGACGAATGATTGTGTCCTGGCTTACAAATGGTATTCCATGCGATTTATTCCCACCCTCCGTCTCACGTGTGCCTGCGCGCTTCTTCTATTCCTCTAATGCACTGTTTTGAAGGGGTTTCGCTGAATCATTGACTTCTTTACTCGTTCCCTCTTTCGCTCTCTCTCTCCGTCCTTGCGTGATTTTCGTCTCTGTGTGTGCGTGGATGGGTGGGTTGCTGCCCCCACAGCTTTGTATTTCTTTGCAATATATATATATATATATGCCTGTGACCATCTCTTTTTCCTTTTGAGTTTCTCCGCGGTGTGAGCACACACTAGGCTTGGCTGGCGAAGAGGCCATGAGGACTGCTGCGGCCTACGGCTTGGAGTTCCAGGCCCGATGCATCGCGCCGTTTTACCACCCGTCGAATGGAAACGTCGAATCCCACCGATTTCTTGTGGGAACGTCTTGTTTTTCTGGCGACAACAAAATTTATTTGCTCGAGCATCACGACGAGACGAAGCTGCTCGAGTGCATGACAGTTTGGTTCCATGAGGAAGAGGTGTGCGGGCTGTGGAGCTCGCCGTCCTTGACGGATCCTAGTCTCTTTGCCATGAGCTCGCCAACCGCGACCAGTGTCTTTCAGGTCCCGGAGACACTTGCAGGCGAGCTGCGGGACGTCACCGCCTTTGACGTCGTCGCCTCTCAGGTCCTCTGGGACTTGGATGGGCTGCAGAACGAGGTACGGCTGACGTCGCAGGATACGCTGCGGATTTACGCGCTTGACGAAGGGAGATTGGGGAAGGAGGTGAGTTGCTTCCGCATAGACGGAAACACACGAATCAACTGCGCTGCCGTGGACGCACATCACACCTCCGTGTGTATGGTGGCCTGTGAGAAACTCGGTTTGTATGTGATTGACACGCGAAAAAAGAGCCCAGTGTCGATCGCCAACACGGCCGCCCTTCATGGAATGGGACTGACACGCTCCATCGACTTCAGTTCCTGCCAGATGAATCTCTTCGTGACGTCGGGAGATGATGGGTTTATACTCTGGCATGATATGCGCATGGGTGGAACGACATGCGCCGTGGAGAAGAAGCAGCATATGAGGGCTCACGACCACGCCGTTCCAAGGGCAATTCTGAATCCATTCCATGATGAACTTCTCATATCGTGTAGCTCTGACCATACTTTGAAGCTTTGGGACAGCTCAACGGGAGGCGACGATAACGAGCCTGCCGTCTGCCTGAAGAAAATTGCCGACTTTGGTGACTCCGTCGTCGATGCGTGTTGGAGTAGTGGTGCTCCGTGGGTCTTTGCGGGGGTGTCGTACAATGGAAAGGTTGTAGTGGACGACGTGCCGAAGGAAAAAAAGATGGCAATTCTCTTGAAGGATGGCTGAACAGAAAAACGAAAAGAAAATAAATGAGATTTGACTTCTTTTTTCTTCTTCTTTTTGTAATGCGCTGCTGTTGTATCATGCTTTGGGGATTTGCACGCCGTGCGGGGGTAACGTGAATGACGATGACGGGGAGGCGGGAATTCGGCCATCGGTGTCCTCTGAACACATCATCCCTTTTTTTCTTTTTTTTTCTTTTTTTTTTTGCCCTGTCGTGCATGCCACACGATTGCTTCTACGTGTCCCTGCAGGTGCATTCAGCAGTTTGTGTGTTTGTGTGTGTGCTGCTTGGACGCATGTCGAGGAGTAAAACAAGAAAAACGCCACGTGGGCTGCCTGAAGTCCACCACGAGACCATCGCGGCTCTCAACGAAATGGAGGAAAATCTCCGTCGCCTCGGGCTTCGCAATGAGAAGAACTCCGCGACAGACGGCCCCTTCCACGAAGGCGGGGTGCAGGATTATGTGGCACCCATTTGGAAGGCCAGGGAAGAGGCAGCGAAACTGCGCCACGAGAAGGAGTACAGGCAGTTTGCAGCGGAGGAGCAGAAGCGTGAGAATGAGAAGATGCTCTTGTATGCCAAAAGGGAGGAGGCTCTGCAGGACGTCATCAAAAAAGCGAAGGAGCTTCTCGAGAAGGAGACGAACGCCGCCCATGACGCCGTCTCACGTCGGGCTCAAAAAATGACGGATCGCTCCATACGAGCCGAGGAGCTTCAGCGGCAGAAGGTCTTGCGTGACCGTGTGCATCGGGCCATGAGAGGGTCGGAGGCAGAACAATCTTTCCACCAGCAAACGCTGCCAGTCGTTGATGAGGAAATGCGAATAATGAAAAAACAAGCAAAAGCCACCGCCGTTTGTGAATATTGTCATGTCATCGCATCAGGACTCGTGGAACTCGCCATGAGGGTGGCGGAGAATGTGTACACAATCGGCGCAGTGGATGACGCCCCCGTACTTCGCTTTCCCCGAGATCTTCCCGCGTTGCAGTGGCGCGCGTGGGTGGAGGAGTTGATATTTTCGAAAGCGGTATCAAGACCGATGAGTGAATTGCTCGCCACAACACCGTTGCGTGAGCTGTGCGACCCGAACTACAAGAATTTATCCACCCAAAAGGAAGAGGGTGTGAGTTCCTCCCAAGGAGGAAGTGAGAATAATGGACGCGAAGCTTTTGAATCTGCACGAGATGCCACCGCTTATGGTGACGGAAATGCCGTTGCCACAAGTGCAGCGGCAGAGCACATACTTAAGCTTCTTGTGGAGATGCAACACAATTACGAAACCAATCTGGTCAATCACAGTGTGCATGATGCCATCCGATTGATCAAAAAACACGAGAAGAAGAGGTTACGCATGGAGTTGGATGAGATACGACGACAAAATGAAGCCCAGTGCCCCGAGGAGGTTGTGCCTGGATGGACCCATCGGATGCCACCTGCCGGGTGTTTTGTACACGGCGATGAATTGAGTGGGCTAAAGAAGTTTGCAGAAGTGGCATGTGCCGAGGTGTTGCAGGAGGTGGTTCAGGTAGTCCCGCCACACAAAAGGCGAATAAGCCTCGCGGCGATGCCAGATACGGCGAAGGCGATGGCGGAGGCTGAAAGCGCTAAGAGTGAAGCTGAGCCATACCGTCTTCTCACCCCCACCATGCTTTTTCGAACACAACAGTCCTTCCCAGGTCAGGGAGGTGGGGGAGGCGGGGTGTTTGGTGGTGGTGGTGGCAGCAACTTTTTGACGAGCAGTCCAAGGACACTCAGGGGGCTCGCCACAAGCGTCTCCAGTGCTGCACGCACAAAGGAAGGTCGACAAACGGAGGAAGTGACGGAGTCCAGCCAATACATTGATGCCCTCTCTGATCTCCTTGCGAGAGAGCTTGCCGCGGTGCATCAACACAACCTTCAGCTTGTGATGCGGAGCGGTGCAACGACAACCGAGCCCAAGGTTGGGTCAAGAGGCACACCGTGTACTCTTTTTCTTGTGGGATTTCCCGAAACGGAGGCGTTTTTGCGTACATTGAACCAAAAGCTTCATAACGCTCTGGAATTTGTGGAACACGAGATCATTAGGGCGCTCAGGGCAGAGGAGGCGTCGGAGGGGTCCCCTCCCGCGCCGTTGCCTTCAAGGGGGAAGAACCTCCAGAAGGGGCCGACGGCGTCGCACGACGATGCCGCAGGGTCGCGTAAGAAGGGCGGCAAGCAAATGCCGTCCACTGCAGGTAAGAGAGGTGCCGGTCGAGCACCCATCCCATGGAGTGAGGAGAATGTTCCTGCACATCCCCGCGTGTTTCCACCACTCTGTATTCTTGGCATCTTTCTGCAGTACGACGTTCCCTCACGCCGCAGACGTATGCAACAGCTGAGCCTAAACCCGACCCCGCCTTCAGCAGAGCCAAAGGGTCAGAAGACGACCGCTAACGAAGAGGAGGACGGCGAGTCATATGCCGACTGGACCATAGAGAAGCTGCACCATGAGCTCATTCAGCAGGACAAAAAAATGCGGAATGTCTGTAAAACGTGGTGCACCAACGTGTCCAAAGCCTCCGTGGCAGTTGAGTCAATGATGACGAGGGTGCCATCTGCCGAAAAACAGAAAAAACGTTCACGCTCGTCGGTAACAACTAAACCAGTTGAGGCCCTCACCGTCAATACGACGACAACGCCAAACACCCCGTCGGTTACGGTGCCAAAAGTTCTTTTCTTTTGGCGTAAAGAAGACATCACGAGCTTGCCGGATTCATTTACCTCTACGGAGAGCATCACCGCCACTGTTAGTATTCTTCTGAACTCCGTCCTTCAATTCATTACGACAAGTGGCCGTCTCGTGCGGGGACAGTTGGTACCTCCATTGAGGTTGAGTGACTACCGTTTCCTCCCCGCCGCAATTACACAGTTGGTAGAACTTCATCAGCGCTTTCATTGTCGTTGGAAGGAGACCATTCACCAGTACCTATCGAGTCCGATGTCGATCTCGGCCCTCCACTCACCAAAACTAAAAGCGACGCTTTCAACACGGACAGATTCCTTAACAACGACGCCGTTTCTTCATCCCTCACCATTAGCATCAGCGGAAATGGGCCCTTTTTTTTTGGCGTGTCCCATCTGTATTAAAGAAAAGAATGTGGCGGTGAAAAACGTGGTGCTGCTTGAGACAGAGATGCACCGCGTTTTTTGCACCTTCTTCTCGGATTTGTTACAATTCATCACTCAAAATGCTTTTCCTTCGTCATTATGGGTTTTTTCGCGCGACCCGAGCAATATTATTGACCCAAATAACAGCAGTGGAGTCGAGACATTAAGTCGCACTTTACACTTTCTTTCCATCGACAAAAACTACGACACTTCGCGTGAGGCACTTTACACACTGCTGGTGAGTGGCATGGACCAATTGAGCGCAATATGTGCGTTGTTGCTTCACTGCGTGATGGATTTGGCATTAACATCCATGGGAGAGGCTTTGGCACGTCTGTGTTTCTGGGCACGTCGTCATGTATCCGTCACAGCCACGCTGTGCCCAGAAACAGAGAAGCCTCCCGTGCTGCCTTCCGCCACGACCACCCCCAATAACGCTAATAGTCACGTCACCGCAAAGGAGGAGGTGGAAGGGGCAATGATGAAGGAAGATGGAGAAAACGGGGAGGATGGGAAATCCACCGCGACGAAATGTGGCATGCCCTACGATGCCGTAAAGGACTCTTTTCTTGCCTCTGTACCTCGCCTTGGATTTGATAAGGTCCACTCGATGGTGGAGCTTCTGGATGGTCGAGCGACATCCTTTGCTGAATTTCAACAAGAGCTGTGGTCATATGCGTCGTGCCTGCACCAAAAAATGTTGGAGTGCTTTTGGTCCTTTATAAACAATGCCAGCGCGGAGTTCAATGATGAGAATACGGAGAGCCTGACGGCAATGGCTTCTCAGGTAACCGAAGTGCTGGTGGCGTCCCTCTTTGCCTTTTCACCACTTGAAAAGGGCCCTTTGAATTTCCCCGACACATTAGCACATTCGACATCCACATCGGAATTATGCTCGTCAACCATCACCGTTTCTATCGGACGTGCGATGGCCTCTGTTCGTGCGCTTCGGCGGTGTTGTGCGGTCGCCAGTCTCTGTGCAGCGCGTTGGATTGACGCCATGTACGCCACCGCACTGAAGATTCCCCCGCATGGTTGTTTCCCAGCGGAGTGTCGTCCAACGGACATTGCGTCCATCTTTTGTTCGCCCACCATTGTCACCGATGAGGGTTGTGCGCCCCCACCGTCGTTGGCGTTTCAGTTGCTGGCTAGCCGGACCCCTGCGCTTCATCTCTCCCCGGATGAGGAGCGTGATTGCTGGTGGGAAACGGAAATGGAGGTTATTCTGCAGATATTTTCCATTTACCAAAAGCCTACACTCAACGAGGCAGAGTTTACCCACTGTGCGATGCAGGTGCAATTCAACACGCTGTGGCGATTCCTTCCACCGAGGGCAGCTGCCATTGCGGAGCGACTTGGAATTTTTCTCCCCCTTACGCCGAGAGTTGCCCAGGAGGAAAAGTGGGGAGAAGAACAGCAGCAGGCCAACATGGAATTTGCTCTTTTCCGGTTTGCAAATCTCCAATGCTACGGGGAATTGAAGAATTCATTTCTGAGGGAAGAGGACGCGAGTCGCATTTTTATTGCCGCTGTGCAGGCTCAACAACAAAACTTTCCAACTTCTCTGAACTCTTTGGATCCCACTTCTTCCCGGCACGCGTCCGTATCGAATGAAGCAGAGAGGAAGCGGTGGATGAAAAAGCCTCTGTTGCATGTGCGTGAATACTTTATCAGTGTCCTTTTACAGCGGCTCCGCTTGGACGATGCCTCGGGCGCCATAACATGCCAGAGCCCTGTGAGTGGATTGCAAGAGCCCTCCACTATGCAGCTGCGACAGATGATAAAATCTCTTCCGCGTGCAGTGCGCGAACAAGGCCCTGATAGCATGCCAGTGTCCGGCCCCATCTCCATGGAGGAGTGGAAGCGCATTAGGTGGTGGCCGTTCTATGAGGATGCTTCAGTTGCGAAGGCTGAAGCGTTTGTTCAGCGATACTTACTACGCCTCTTAACGGTATGTTTTGGATTTGTGAACGGTGAACTGTGCTCCCGACCTGCACCCTTTCTTCCCGACATCCTTCACATTGCGGCGGGTACAAGAGGCTGTCAGGCAACACTGGAGCGATACTTTCACGCACTTTCCGCCTTGGATGTCGTACGCAAAAAGAAGTTGCGTCACTCGCAGGAATCAGGTCTGGCGAGCGGCTCCTCAGAATTACGAAAAGATGGAGACGATGCCGCGGTCTTGGACGGGCCGTTGACGGCGTTTGACTTTGCGTTAAGCGTGGATGAGGCCATGTTTTTCTTTCAGCGTGCTGGTGAGACGAGTCTTCGCGGGCCATGTGCGAGGGGTCTGAGCTACGGATCTCCAAAGCACCTGTGTGAGCTGCGCGACCTCATGCAGGTTGGGGATTGGAGTGACGCTGAGGAGGAGGCGGTGGGCAACTACGAAGACGAAGACGACGACGTATTGCCGCTCGCGACGGAGCTGACGCTGCTGCTAGAGGAGGAGGGATGTCCTGCGCTTACACTGACGCTTCTGGGCTCCTCCCACTGGGGAATTTACATCACGCCGCGGCTGACGGCAATTCCCTTCAACGTGGGGATGTCAACGGTGGAAAAGGGCAACTTGGATGAAATGATGGGGCAGATGGATTTCCCCTTGCACTGCAATCACGGATCCAGCAAAGAATCTTTGGTTTCATTTCTTTAAAAGGGAACAGAAGGAAAAGTTGACATGATTAGAATTACCTCACCGTTTTTCATGCCCATATATGTATGCGTGTATGTATTTATGCATATATAAAAAGAGAGAAAGAGGGAGCGAGGAGCCCTATTTTCACCTGCACCATGTGGGGAATATTACATGTATAAATATTACCGAACAAAGTTGCATTTTCTCTGTTGAGACTTTGGATATGTTGATGTTTTGTTCAATGAGGCGAAATCGTTGCCCGGCAATTATGCTTTTGTTGTTGTCGTTTTTTATTATTATTTTGCCTTTCGCTCTGGTGCTTCTCTGTGTGTAGCGGCAGGAGCACGGTTGCCACCAAATCTCCCCCTTATGTCTGCTTGTTATTTGACTTTTCACTTCTTTTTCTGTACTTCTGTGGTTGTGGGGGAAGCAGTGGAAACTAGAAATTACATTTATTTTGCTGCTGCCGGACGCCGGACGCAATTTAAGGAAGGGGGACAACATACACACACAGGCACAAAAAGGAAACGAAAAGAAAAAGTAGGCTTCTTTTTTTTTTTCTACTCCCACTCGTACTTTGATACGTACAAAAAAAAAAAGGGAGTGTGTGTGTGTGTGTGTGTGTGTGTGTGTGTGCAAAGACCCTCGGAGCACCGCACGGCAGCGGTAACAACAGATAGGAAAAGGAGGGACTCGCACAGCAGTTTTTTGGCTTGTTTTCTTACTTACTTGGAATCTAATGGAGAGCTACAAGGATGTGATCCTCAGCCAGGCCCCGGCGATGTACGACAAGATGGGGAATTCGGCAGGCATATCAATGGAGAACTACAAGGGGATCCTGCTCTGCGCTCGCCCGGCGAATCTTCCGCATGGTCCTTCCGTGCAGCTGCGCGGTGAGAACGCATCTGCCGGGCCGTTGCTGACACGAGGCGGGGAGCCCGCCCCCGCGTTTGTTCCGGGTGGCGCGACAGAAACTCAGGCGGGTTTGGGGCCCTCTGTCGAGGATCGCGCGACAATGGAGCGGAACCACCGCAAGCAAATAGAGAACGCCATAGCCCGACGCAACAGGGCGTTTACCGTGCTGACACGGCACAGACGCTGGCTTCGCAGTTTTGCGGAGCAGGTGCGGAAGATGAAGGAGGAGGAAATACAGCGCGAGATTCAGCTTGCCAGGCGGTCTGAGCAGAACCGCCAACGACAGGCGCAAAAGCGGGCGGAGGCCGTCTCCGGTGGCTTCTCTCCGGTGGCTGATCCAACGCACACGGCCAGGGAGCAGCAGCAAGAGCAGCAGGAACGGGCTGCCACTGAGGCCGAGCGTGCCGAAGCTGAGAAGAAGAAAAAGAAGGCGGCTTCAAAGAAGAAAAAGCCGAAGTGGGCTCTCACAGAAGACGAGGCGTTAGAGGATGAATTGGCAGACGCCGACGAGCTACTGGATTTTGCAAAGAAGCTCGACTACGAAAAGTTTATCAACGACTATGAGGTGGCTGGAGCTCTCGCAATCATGCGGGAGCGGGTGGAGGAGATTGCGCGGGAGAATAACTGGAGCAAAGAGGTGGTGGAGCGGGCAGCGAGTGAATCGGTTGCGGAAGAACTTGAGGGCGAGGGTGATGCAGACGCGGGTGAAGGCAACACTGCGGCGAAGGTAGACGGACCACGCGGGGATGATCAGACACCACAGCAGACGGTATGCACCGCCGCGGCAAGAAAGGCAGCCCCATGCAACATTGCCCTTCATAAGGAAGGATGGAACAAATCGACAAGTGTTGGGGGCGTACTGAGACGTGCCATCTTTCGGGACACTCTTCTGTTAGCCGAGCGCATTCTTGCCTCCTCTATGTCCATGCAGAAAATTCATACCAAATACAGCCTTGCACGTCTCCTGCAGCGGTGTGTGTTAAACGGCGACAATGCTCTGGAGGCCATGCAAAAACCCTCCATGGGTGGCAGCAAAGGATTAGATGTGGAGCCGCGTGTCGTGAAAGTGAATCCTGAGGCAACAAAACAGGAAAGCGGAGGTGGGGACACGGATTTGGGTTCACAGCGGATATTGGTGGCAATGCAGCGTTCAAAAGAGCGAACTCAGGGCCTGCCGTACTTGTATCGGTGTCCAGCAATATAGAGCCTTAACATTTATTGGTAATGATTGATGTGGTTGTGTGAGCTGCCCCTTGTTGATGGTGAAAATATACATTTAAGTCCTCAACTAGTTATCGTATATATATATACGTATTTGTACGATGGATTTTTGCTTTGGATGTGGGGGACGTAGAGAAAGGTGCCCGGGGTGATTATATTAAGTGGCGGCTAAAAAAAAAAAAAAAAAAAAAAAAAAGGAAAAGGGTGAGGAAACTTGTGGGATGTCTTCTGATTGGAATTTTGTTGTTGTTAATTCCTTTTGATTGGCAATGTAAAGAAATACATATATCTTTATAATTTGTTGTCGTTTGTTTGTTTGTTTGCCCGTGCTATGCACGTCCATGTTATCAACACCCGGGGAGAAAGAGACCAGAAGGAACAGGAGGCAGCTTCCGGTCCATGCGTGCACATTCCTCTTTTAGCTTCGTTAAAGAAGCGCGTAGATGGAAAAGAGAGAAACCAAAAATTCATTTGAAATTTATGTAAAGTAAAAAAAAAAAGAAAATGGAGGAGAAGCCTGCCCACTTCCAGTCGGCAATTAGTTCAAAATTATAAATAAATAAATATATATTTATTTATATTTATTATTCACCGCTTTTTTCTTTGATAGAAAGACAGCCTTCCAAGTGTGACTGGAGAAGAAAGCGACGGGAAGAAGCGAAGCGAATGTGCAGTGAGAGTGGAGGACGCTTGTTGTTGTTGTTTGTATGCGGCAACATGAGCACACAAACAGACACGGTGGAAGGAAAGCGGTGTATCGAGTGGAAGAGACTCTGTGGCTCTGCCAAATCTCCCTGTGACATTTCTGCTCAATGATGCCGATCATCATTGGACTGGTCGTGGTGGTGGTGGTGCGTGTGTCTGTCTGTGTGTCTGTCTGTGTGTGTGTGTGAAGCACTGCATGGAATTGCAGCCGAATATTTCTTGCTTGTATTTTTTTTTTCTTCTTGTTTCTTTATCATTATTATTTGGTTATCCCACTCTTCTGCTCTTTCTTCCCTGGGCATCACGGATGTCCACATCGTTGGTGCCTGCGCCTGTGCATGTGTGCAAGGTGAGGCGATTCACAACCAAACAAACATGAACCTAAACGCATATGGATTTTCCGGCCAGACCGCCAGTAACGCCGGTAACGGCGCCGTCGGGGCGGCGGCCGGCAGCAATCAACCGCAGCGTCGTATGCACCCTATCCGCCCGGTGACTATAAAACAGCTGCTGGAGGCGCAGCGTGTCGGTGAGGGTGTGATGGTTGTCGACGGCCGCGAGGTCACGCAGGCGACTGTCGTTGGTCGTGTGATCGGCTACGAGGACGACACGACCAACCGAGTTACCGGCGCCCTCACCGCGAAGCACTACGGTTATCGTATCACCGACGGCACTGGTCTTGTTGTGGTGCGTCAGTGGATGGACGCGGATCATCAGGAGGAGCCCCTTCCCGTGCAGTGCTACGTGCGGGCCTCTGGCACCGTCAAGGTGTGGCAGAACGCCCCCATCGTGACCGGCACCGTGCGCCTTGTCTCCGATTGCAACGAACTCAACTACCACTACCTCGATGTCATTCTCACACACCTGCGACTGACGAGGGGCGACAAACACGCGAAGGAAGAAGGCGCGGTCCCGGCTGTTAGCAACACGGCGAGCACGCTAGGGGTACAAAATATGCTGCCGGGTGGCGGGGGCAAAGTTTTCGCAACGGACGTGCTTCTGAACGCGATCAAACAAAACGCGCGGGGTGATGCGGGGCTCTCAATGGATGAACTTGCCGCTGCGGCACGGCAGTATGGGTTTAGCGTCAATGATGTCCGTGTTGCGTTGAGGACACTGGCGGCGGAGGGAAGCGTGTACCAGACGCACGACAACAGGTTTAATATTTAGGAGGAACGATGGCTGGAGGCCTGGGGGGGTGGGAGGGGAGAAGTGAGCAGTAAAAAAAAAAAAAAAAGTTGGGAAAAAGGTGGGAACAAAGAAGGGACGGGGTTTTCTGCTATATTGCAACGACGCCCCTCCCCACCTCCTCTACCTGCTAGCACATAGACAAATGCATATACATGCGGTGGGCCATCCCATCGCCTGCATTATTTGTTGATTTTTTACATATATTTATATATTGGTTTGTTTCTCGTTGTGATTCTCTGTGCTACACGAGAGAAGAAAGAGAGAGAAACACAGGCAGAGGAAATGAGCGTTTTGTTGTGTGGCAATGACTCTATTTTGTTTTCATCTTCACCGGGTGTAAGGAACGAAACAGAAATTACAGATGGTGGGTGGCTCATGCAGAGGAGACATGCACCACTTGGGAGGCCACCCCTCGTAAACACAAATATTCCTTTTATTTTTTGTTTGGTTCTCCAAATGTCTTTCCTCCCCCCCCCCCACCCCACCCCATTTGTCATTCCAATTGTTCCGTTGCGCATCATTTAAGGATGCGGTCGTGTTTAATCACGTGATTACCCCACGGGCTGTTGGGAGTGGAAGGCCTGTGAAACGACGGGCTTTTTTTTTTTTTTTTTTTTTGCTGGCGAGGTACACATTCATACGCTCATGCACACAACGACTTGTTTTCTCTTCTCACCGTCTGTTTTCTTTTATTCCTTTAGATTGTTTACTGTTTTGTGTGAAGTCCAGGGATTTACGTATCTTCGGTGCTCATACTGCCATATTTCTCTTGAGAACCCGACAATGCGCCGTGTCAGTAGACAACTTATCCACGCCACCACCGTTGCCGCAGCGACCCGCTTCGCCGCGACCAGCGGTGCAAAGAAGTACGATTTGTTTGGTTACGAAGTGGACACCAACACTGCCCCGTGGATTGAAAAGATCAAGAAGTGCAAGTACTACGACGAGGCCGGCGAGGTTCTTGTGAACATGAACGTGAGCAACTGCCCGCCCGACATTGCGACGTACAATGCGGCGCTGCAGCGCATCTACGAGGCGCCGTCGAAGCAGGCGCAGCCCGTGGAAAATGAGAGCAAGTTCTGTGCGATGCTGGACCTGCTGGAGGAGATGAACCACCGTAACAAGATGAAGCCCAACGAGGAGTCCTGGATGTGGGTGATGCGGGAGTGCGTAAAGAGCGGGCAGTTTCGTCTTGGCTACTGCATTCAAAAAGTGATGGAGGCGGAGTTTAAGTCATGTCCCGCCGACCTTGTGAAGCAGAACGAGGCGAACGCGGAGAGGGCCAAGGCGGAGGGCAAGGAGCACCCCAGCTACCTCTCATTGCAGGTCGGTCTCTTTGATGTGAAGATTGAGTAGGGAAGGGATAGAGTACAAAGACGTGTCCGTGTCTGCCGAACGCGTGTGAGGCAAACAGTGTTTAAATAGGTAGGAGTCATCCTCCGGTTATTAGCGTTTGGATGAATGATAAATCTTTGGCGAAATGTATGTCGGTGTCGATGTGTGGGCTAATGAATGAGAGTGTAGAACTCAGGATGGGGGAGGG